CCCCCCCCCCAACACCATGCCTGTGCATGCGTTTACGCTGGGCGCTGTCAACTTTTCCCGCATGTACACGTGTAGTGTAATGCTTAGGTCCGTCCCTCTTATGTCAGCGGTCAAGTCTTGAAAAGTTGACATTTGTCATGCAATTTCTCGGTGCACCACCCGAATTCGAGGAAAAGACAGAGTTTAAAAATGCCCACCCACTAGAGGCTAGTTATTTATCACACATTTGTAATGTGATTTTGGTGTTACGTTAGAGGTCTTGGAGGGCCTGGAGGGGAAGGAAATCGCAGGGGCACGGACGGAACGGACAGTGAGACGGACCCGGGAATTCGGCCAGGGCAGGCGCTAACGTGCACTAACACTTACACGCCCGCCGGGACGGGCCAAGCGGACAGTGCTTAAACTCCGTTCCCCGAGATATCAACCTAAGGCGTCGGGTGCATGATGTTTCCCCATGGGCAACAACAACAATATTGGTTCATGAGCGTTGAACGACATCCAGCTTCTTGCACAAAGACGGGCTCCTTCCCTCAGAGTTCATAACTCCCTACAGTATGGACCCTCACTGCATGCCAAGTACCCTAGCCTCACCTCACCAAGGCGGCCAGACCCTTCCAAATCCCAAATGACCAAAATCCTTCCAGGTCCCTTCACTAAACCACCAAGCCAAGCCAAGGCCAAATAGTTGGGTGTCACCATGGGCCGTCCCTGAAAATCAACAATCACGATTCTGCTCATACACATAAGATCCATCAGTCATCGACCGGCCGGCCATGTGCGTGTAACTTGCCCTGAAGGATCAAGGGTCCGACGCCTCCAAAAATCCATCCGGAAGCAATTCTAGAACGCCGCGGTAACGAAAGGTCCGGACATGCATACCCATATCCATATGGATGGGATGGGATGGGATAACCGAGTTTGTGTTGTCGTTCTCCTGCTGCCGCCGCCACTGAGTAACCAACCACCTGCTTTCCGCCAGGATATATGAACAGCTTGATTGAGCGGCAAGCGGCAAAGCAAGGCACGGAGGACTTTTTGTTATCACTGTGTTATGTGACGACGGCGATGACAGGATGGTTTCAAGATGTGATGTTGATGGTGATGTTTGTTGTCGATCTCTTTCGATATCACGGTATGTACACTAACTGCGCTGTGTCTGCGCTTGTCCGTGCCTGTACCTGTACCTGTGCCCCCACGCAAGCCTTGTGCTTGTGCTCGTGGTCTTGGTCGTGGGCGCTCACCCGTGCCTCGGCCGGGTAGTTTTATGGTTTACGGCTCAGCCTTGCCTGCCTCATGTCTCAAGTTCAGTCCCAAGGTTTATTATATGCCCTTTTTGGGTGTGGGCAACTTCGGTGGGAAATGTTGACTGACGGTGAAGGTTGTTCAACAGGCTTTTGTTTTATCGTGCAGGCAGGTACAAAGATCGACCGAGAAAGAAAAAAAAAAAGACACCCTCAAGGCGGGCGTCATGTCGATCAAAGATAATCAGATAATCAGCCCGAGCGTTTACTATATCCACTATGTTTACACTACCGTAAGGTAATCTTGATATCATGACGGGGCTCGCGGGGCAACTGCCAACTAATCTACTGTTTGAATACCATACAGTAGAGGTAGTGATCGCCGCCGCCGTGCGAGAAGTCGAGGACCCTAGTATCTCACAATTCTTTTTTTTTTCGGCCTGGTTCCTTTTACGTGTAACCTAGCATATCTTGCACGGCCGCGGAATCTAGCTCCGCGTTGCGTGGAACGGGAAGTTTTTGCATGGTGTGGTATTTTACCAAGCTTACCAGATATGATGTGCCCTTGAAGAAGAGTGATTGGCTGACTGACTGGCTTCAGTTAGGTATGCGGCCGCGTGTGCTATCTATGCAGAGAGAGGTATTAGGTATACCTAGTTGTGCCTGACTGACTTGCGACTCAAAACACCTATATACACAGTACATTACAGGTCTCAGATCCGACCCGTCGCTGTGCTGTGCTGACCTGCATAGAAGCAGGACAGGAAACAGGCCTGCAATATGCATGGTGCTTTCTGCTTTGTTTTAACGCCGAGCAATGAGCGAGTTGATATGTGTAAAAGGGCGCCACGATTACTAAAGAATGGGTATGCATTACATACTTACTCACTACCTAGGCTCACTAGGGCATCATCTCCAGAAATTGCATCCAGGATCATAAATGCAGTAAATGTCATGAGGAAGATATTAAATCCGAGGTTTCAACCCTTTCGCTGTTTGATTCGTGCTTGCAGGCCATCTCTGCTGAACGCAGAAATCACTGTAAATATCCCGCTGGTAGGGGCCACACAAGAGAAATAAACACTCGGCGTCCGGTAAACCGAAACCACCGACTCTGTTTTTGTGTGATTGTGTGACTAAGTTGTTGGTGACCCCCCAACCTGCACAAGACCCTGAAAAAGGCGAAGACAGCGACGAGCAGAATACTAATGAAAAAGACCCCGTTCGGGCTTGCTGACATTACTAGTAACCACCACATCCTTTCTTCAAGGATAGGTACCTTAGCTAAAGTAAGCAGCCATGCTATGCAATGCAAAAATCCGAGCAAAAAAAAAAAAAAAAAACAAA